ACCTCCTCATTTGCACTTTTATAAATAGTATAGATAGATGCATATGATAATGATGTAACATCATCATATCAATTGATAATGCTCATGGCAACTTTATTTGGCCAATGTAATCTACAAAATAATGATAATGATGAATCATCATTCTATTGATATTAGTTTTCATTGCATTAATGTTACAACTACTACTATTAATGCTATTGTTGTTGTTACTATTATTGCACATGGCAACTTTATCTGGCCAATGTACTCTACAAAATAATGATAATGATGAATCATCATTCTATTGATATTAGTTTTCATTGCATTAATGTTACAATTACTACAACAACAACAACAACTACTACTACTACTACTACTACTACTACTACTACTACTATTACTACTATTATGAATGCTATTGTTGTTGTTACTAGTATATTGTACATGGCAATTTCAAATGATGATGATGACAAAAACAAAAACAACAATAACATATTAAAACCCATGTAACAAAAATAATTAATTGGAGTATGGCGTACCCACAAATTTATTGCTTTCTAACCTAAATATTTAGCTTCAATTTTTCTTAATGGCTAGACCAATAATCAGATGATCTTATTGATTGAATCACCATCATATCACCTAGATGGAAATATAGTTTTATTTTTATGTAATTTTAAAAACATTATTTTTTAAAATTATAGTTATGGGTTATAATTGTTGGAATTAAATAGTAAGAAATAAAAATGCTTTAAATGTGATATTTAATAAGAGAGATTATGAGCTAATACCTTAAATATAGGTCTTAATGAGAGAAAATAGATGAACTAAAACATACCAATGCAAATTATATTTTTTGCCTTCAAAATAAAAAGGGATCAAATTCAAAAATAGGATATTTTAGTCAAGAGAAAGTCCAAATATTTAAGATCCCATTCACACTTATAATATTAATATAGGATATTTTAACCCCATGGAGAAATAATTTTTAAGCCGTCCCTATGTTTTAACCTTTGCCAGAAAAAAAAGTAAAATCTTTGATATCTTTCAAATTATCTAATTTTCCCATGCAATTCCCTACTAGTTAATTATATATAGACCTTGAACTTTCAAATATCAACTTATTCATGCATGCCTTGTGTAGGTACATGTTGATCACCACGACTGTAATAGCACAAAAGGTGCTAAACCGATGCCACAAGGACACCCGTGATGAGTTCACAACTCGGTACATGTTCGCGAAGAGATCAAGGCCACCACAGGCCTGCAGTAGACCCAAAACCACAATATTGTGGACAAACTCAGAGCCATCACGAACTTGCAATGAGCATAAAGCCATCGCGAGGCTACGATGAGCTCAGATCCACGATGAGTGCAAGGCTAACGCAAACCTGCGATGATCTCAAAGCCATTGCGAGTCTGCGGTGAGTTAAGAGCCATCACAAACCTGCGATCCATCGTAGGTTAGAGACGAGCAAAGAAACACATGATTCGTTGATGTTGCGCATGACAGAATGCCGAGTAAGATTAAAAAACACGTGAGATTAGTATTGATGCCATTCATGCCACATCAATCTAGGAGACTCGCAAAAAGAAGTAGCATATGTGTATTATGAGAATCCTCAGATGAAAGGAAAACATTGTCTTTGAGATAACTCATAAGACACGTGACAAAACCTTAGTGGTGTTCCCTTGTCAACTGACACCGGATTGAAGATTCCTTCCTTTCGAGATCTCAGGATCTCTCCTTATAAATAGAGGTCTAACTCATAACAAGAACATCATTCTACCATTCTGTCAATTAGACCCCTACACGTAACCTTACCACCCTACTCACACCTTGTTAATGGATCCACATAACATAAATAGGACTTATGTCATTGCACCCTTTAAAGTCATTAATGGCTCACTCTAAAGATTTTCATAATATCAAAATTGCCCTTAAATGTTCAAAACATAGGACAAAAACGTATTATCAATGTCTGTCTTCGGATGGCTTTTCTTCCTTTAGTTAGGACTCCAGAAGTCAAGCTACTCCACTCTTTTTCTCTAAGCAATGAAATTATGTATATGTTTGGTTCCACTAGCATTTATAGATGGATCACTTATTGCTTTAGACGCTTATTTGTATAATTTTTACTTTAAACATTTTTTACTTTTGTTGTTTGGTTGGGCATAATCATTTCCTTTCAAAAAATGCTAGGGCATTGAGGGAAACTAGAATTTGACATTTCCCCAAATGTCCCATATACATAAATCAAAGTGTTTCGATTTTTTAGTGTTTATTTGATAAAACGGTAAAACCAAACAATGGTTTTATATTAGGGGTGGTCATGGGCCGGGCCGGGCTTTGCCTTCATAACAATGGGCTTAGGCTAGGCCCGGGCCTGGCCCAACCCGCATTATGGGCCTAAAAGATAAGCCCGGGCCCGGCCCTACATGGGCCTAGGCCAGGCAGAGCCAAGATTCGGGCCTAATTATTATATTTCAGTTTCAAAATTAAACAATTGTACTTTTTTTCACTTATTGTCGTGGAGACTATAGTAACCTGTAAGAAACTTTAAACTTAATATCAAGATAAAAGCTTCTAACATAAAAGAAATTAAATAATTATACCTTATAATTTATAAGTTTCAATTGGTCATTAATATGCTAAAAATGATAATTTTAACAAACCAATTCTTTTATCAACAAAAAATCAACTTAGAACCTATATCTATCAAAAATTAACCATCTATTGTCATGTAATATACACAAAACAACTTTAAACATCTCTATAAGGGGCTTCATCTTCCATTCAATTCCTATAAATAAAAAGTGAAATAAAAAGGATATTAGCAAACTAAGAAAAAATAGATCAAATTAATGTAAATAAATAAGTAATAAAATATTAAAAATGGTTTCAATTTTACCCAAAACTTGCAACCACTCTAAACTTTAGATTTATCTTCATCAATGGAGTCTTCATCATTAGGAGATTTGTCTTTTGGTGAAAGAGAGAGAGAGAGAGAGATTGGACATGGCAGTAGTTTTGTGAAATTAGCAAGAGAGAGAGAGAGAGAGAGCCAAGAAGATTAGGATTTTTATTAAATACTATATTAGAATTTGGTAAGAACTAACACCGTAGGATTAAAATCTTTAATCTCCTACAAATTTTTATTAATGTCTATTTAATATATAAAACATCAATTATCAAATATTTTTAAATAACATATATATATATATAAAGATATATATTATAAATATCCGGGCCGGTCCGGGCCCAGGCCAGGCCTAAAAAATTAGGCCCAAGCCCAGTCCTAAATTTTGTGGGCCTGGGCTCGGGCTGGGCCTTAACAAAAACCTAAGCGCAATCCTGGATTTTTTGGGCCGGGCTGAAATCATCACCCCTATTTTATATGCAATAAACGCAAAGACCTATGTGGTGCTGATAAATAGAAACTTTTTTCTCTGTTGCTTTTTCTAGTATTAAAAACTTAAAACCCATAGTTTTCTTTGATCAGTCGGTGCAAATGTTTTAAAAGTTTGTAGAAAGCTCAGATATTGAAAAGTAAATTTGCATATGTAATTTCTTTGTAATTTTCTCCGACGTGAATCGAGTTTGGTACCCTTTTTCACTCGAAAAAAGAATACGGAATGTGATCGTCATTGGGCTATGAAATTGCAGAGGTAATAATCAATAGACCAGAGAAATTGAAACAAGTCGATGAAATTTTATCAATTTGATATTTATCTATTTTCTTCTCTATTTTAGATGCTAAAAAAAGAATTAAATAAATGTATAAATCGGGCCATATTGCCTGCAGCTTGGCATAGTTCGGCTCAATTTTGGACTAGTTCGGCATGATGGTACATGGGTCATGTCAGATCCGATATGATCGTGTGGACTGTATTAAGCCTGAGCTTTTAGTATCATGGCCAGATTGGCATGATACAACCGAGCAGGCCATGCCACTTACAGCCCATGTACCGGCATGACCCATATTATATATATATATATAATATTTTATATATCTATATATAATATATAATATATTAATAAAATAAACAATTATTTTTAATTTTATTATACTAATTTATTTAATTATTATATATATAGATAATTATATACATCAAAATCTATATAAAATTAAAATGCCCAACCTACGGGCCGGCCTGACCCACAGCACTGGCCAACCCCCAAGTTATCCTAGGGTGGGCGGCACGGCACGGCATGGCCCGCACTTTGTGCGGGTCACCCTACACCTCATACGTGCATTTTCTGGCCGAATGCGTGCTTACAGAAGCGTTTTCCAATTTTAACAGGGGCTGTCTTTCTGGGCATGTTGATCATTTGGAGCATTAATGGATGTACGATCTGAGACCCATCAATTTTTTGGTAGAACCGACGAGCTTATTGACCTTGAAACTTCAGGCCGCGTTTAATCCTTCCCAAGACCATGAAAGTCTCACTTATTTCAGCAGCTCCCTCGTTCCGATACGAATTGATCACCTGCGAGCCCTCCTGCTGTTTTTCTGGTACAGTAAGAATGGGGGCATGTATTGAAAATTTAGTGAACAGTGAAAGGTTATTTTTGTCAAGTCAAGTTTTTGAAAGTTCATTTAAAATGGTATATAAAAGCAATTAACCCAAATAAATTTTATACACATTGGTTTATTATGAAAAAAGTGATAAGCGCGGATCAAACTCGGCCCATGATCAGCCATAGGCCCAAGCACGGACAATTTGGGCGCCTTTCGGTTGGATTCCGGGTCCATCTGTGCGGTTGGGCACTCGCCAGTCGCCATTTGCCAGTTGCCAGATGTCACCGTGTTGACGTGGCGTCTTCGGTTTTCCCTCCTTAATGCGGAGCAGATCCGGTCTCAATTAATGGCACGAGGAGAAGTTGATTTTATTGATTGCTTCACGCACACTTGCATTATCTATCTACGTGTCACCGTGACAAAGCATCAACATCCGTCGTCCACGTGTCTCCTCAACATTTCTGTTATTGGCAGTTTCCCATTGTTAGGTAGACATTTGGCCATTTCTGCCGCTTTGTCTGTCTCTGTCCAGACTGTCCTTCCTACGTAAGCGTAACCTCCGACCTCTCTGCTACGTCTTCTGCCTCCCTCTCAGACTTCAGAGCAACCACCAATGGCGGGCTCCCTTCTCTCCTCCGCCAAGCCACCCTTGACTCTCCCTTCCACACCCTCCAATTACTCCCTAACTGCCAACGCCCTGCCCTTGAAACCCTACACTCTCTCCCTCTCCTCTCCCGTCTACCCTAAGGCCTTCAAATTCCTGTCGTTCAATCCATCCCTTCATTGCCGATTCAAACCCTGCCTTTCCCTAGAGTCCGACGTCTCTGTTGTCACAGATCAGGTAATTACAATTAACGACAGTTAAATTGACAGTTAATGGCGGTTATTTGTTGCTTCTTGCCTTCTCTTTCAATAAATTTGAAAAAGTTTCCGGGTTTTTTTGTTTGTTTGTTTGTTTGTTTCTCAGGAGCCGGAGAAGCTCCTTGGATGTAGTAAGAGTTTCGAGGAATGGGACTCGTTGACAGCCAAGTTCGCCGCAGGGGCGAATGTGCCCTTTCTGTTGCTCCAGATGCCTCAGATCATTCTCAATGCCCGGAATCTTTTGGCGGGAAATAAATCCGCGCTCTTTGCTGTTCCATGGCTGGTAATTGATTCGGTGTTTGTGAATTTGGGGTTTTGTTAATGAAGACTATGCAAGGGTAAAGAGGAAAATATTTTTGAAGTGCAGGCAATGTTGACTGGTTTGCTTGGGAATTTATCTCTGCTTTCCTACTTTGTGAAGAAGAGGGAGATGGAGGCGGTTTTGGTTCAGACGCTGGGAGCTATCTCGTCGTATGTGGTGATTGCTCAGCTTGCCATGGCAGAATCAATGCCTCTGCCACATTTCACTGTGACTTCGGTCGTTGTGGGTTCTGGTCTCATTTTGAATTTTCTGAATTATCTAAATTTGCTTAATTCTGGGATCTGGCAAGCCTGGGAAGATTTTGTTACTATTGGTGGATTCGCTGTACTTCCTCAGGTAAGCTGGAAATGGTTCTTGAATTTGTTAATCTTCTTCTTCTTCTTCTTCTTTTAGCTTTTTCAATTGAAGTCTTGTAGATTCTGATAGGCCCGCATTTCATGAACTGGATACAGGTTATGTGGTCTACCTTTGTTCCATTCATTCCGAACAGTATCTTGCCTGGGATTGTTGCTTTTGTGACGGCTGTCACAGCTGTTGTTATGGTAAGTATGAATATTCTTCTGCTTTTAGCTATGCTGATTTGGTCAATTGTGATATCAAATTTTTGTCCTGCATGCTTGATGGAAATAAGGCAAGATAAAGGAAAAAATTATCACTGTCCAGGTTCATATTGCTGTATGGACATGTATCACACTTTCAGGCACAACACCCATGGATTATGGATGTGAGCCCAATTGTTTAGATTAATGATCCTTTGTTGGTTTCAATTTTACCAAGAAAAGGTGATATACATTATCGCAACACAGTAAAGGATGAAGGTTCTAATATAAATGCATTGTTGGAGTTAACTTCTACCATTCTAGAGATAACATGCCACTTTTTACAGTATAATATACATTTCAGAATGATATATTTGCTTCTCCTTGACCATATATACAGATTTTTGAGAAAGCAGCTCATGCAGAACCTTGCAATGGCAGTTTTAGTGAAAGCTATTGGGATCTAGAACAGTGGATTTATGCAAACCATGTTGTATCTTGTTTATCTTTCTGCATTAGCACTTATTTCTTTTTGGAAAATGGGGCAATGGACATTCAGTTATTCTTTCAATGCTAGAAATTGATGAAATAGAAAATAAACCGCATATTTATGACTCTTGAAGATTGTTGGAATCATTGACTAAAACAAAGCCTAAAAGTTACTGTAGTTTGAATGAATACAAAACAGAAAAGACTTGAGTCCTTGATTGCCACCATAATATACAAGGGCCATTACCTAATGCTGGTCCCCACTATCTGCGGTTTAGGAGGGATATGTAATACATGCATAATAAATATTTTGGTTGTATGTAGCTGGTATTTGAATCTGAAAGTTTCACCTTATGGCCTATATCTTGATTATTTGTTGAGTACTTGTGTTTAAATTGACACATACAGCACAAACCTACAACCTTTCAAGCTTACAAGTGTTCTCAAGGGTGTCCACAATTTGGATATAGTTTCTTCTCTGTCCTGAGGACATTATCATTACAAAATTCATCACCTTCCATGGGTACCCTCAAATGTTACCAGAAGAAACTCATCACAAATTTATTACATTGTTTTTGAGTGTCCTTTGTCCCCAGGTTCTTATGTCTTTGACTTGAATTGGTACCAAGGGCACATTGAGAATGATCAAATTACGTAAATATTTATAATGTCCAGTTTGGTTCTATCATCCAAACTGAGCTCTTTTTCTGAGTACTTGAATTGGTACCAAGGTATTTGGAGAAATCTTAAGGTGAAATAACGAGGAATTTATTTGAGGCATTATAACCTATTTCATGCTCATTGTCGGTTCATTGTATAAATCCTACTCTTTGTTCAGGGTAGTAGAATTGCAGTTCTTGAGAGGTCTACTAGAGGCTGGCTGGAAAAGAAGGCATGTTTCTTAATTTGTTTATTTGTTTATTTTGTCGGGTGGTTGGGGGTGGGGAGGTGGGGGATTTTTTTTTTGATGAATAATGATTAATTTTGTTAATAGATTAGGAGCATAAAGATACACAGAGAAAGTTCCCAAAATGAGGCACGAGATGCAGCCTCAGATTAAAACAAATAATTACAGTTTAGCCCAAAACATCTGATTTCTACGCACCCCTTGTTTAGCTAGTGAATCTGCTAACCCATTTGCTGATCTTCTTTCCCATTAGAATTGAATTGACATGTTTGTAGTTAGCCATTTGAACCTTTATAGGACCAGACTGCTGTTTTTGGTTCCTTTAACCACTGGATCACCAATTTGAATCACCTTCGATCAACAGCTGTTCACAATTTAGCCCTTTGGCAATTTCAGCTCCATGTACCGCTGCTTGAATTTCTGCATTAACTGAATCCCCTACTCCTATAGGTCCAAAATATAGAGTGATGATTAGCCCCTCTGTATTTCTGAACACTCCCCCAACACCAGAAGGACCCGAATTTCCTAAACTGCTACCATCAAAGTTGAGCTTAATGATACCCTCTTGAGGAGGTTTCCAATCTGCTGATGGTTTAGGTCTCGTACTAGAACTTTTGGCAACCACTTCCCAATTTCTCCATAAATCATCAAAGGAGAAAGGAGAAAGTAGTTCCAAGGTCTTCACCCAATTGATGGCTCTATTTGTTAATCATTCCCATACAATTACCTCATTCCTCTCCTTCTCATAAAAAATCCTGGCATTTCTTTCCTCTTAGATAGTCCAAACAAGTGCACCCCTAGCATACCTCCACAAGACTCTACCTCTTTTCTTAGGCCATCTGAAAGTTGTAGGTTCAAATAGATTGCTAATCTGCATTGGCATTGTCCACCTGCATCCAAAGAGACTAAAAAGTTTTTCCCAGAGACCAACAAAAGGACAGGACATTAGTAAATGGTAACAACTTTCTCCATTTGCTTTGCAGAGGACACACCAACTGGGGGAGATATTGAGACAAGGTCTTCTTCTTTGTAGGTTGTCCAAGGTGTTTAGTTTCTCAAGTGAGGCCTCCAAACAAAGAGATCCCACTTTAGGGGGAACAGGTTTAGACCGGACCTCTTTACAAGGGAAAGAAGCCTTATTTGGATATACAAGGCCAATTTTCCCTCTTCTTGTGGAAGGGGTTTGAAATGTGCTAGTAGGTCAGGACATGGAAGAAGGACCTTTTATTCTGAATTTCTCTTGATTACAATTAGGTAAGTTGTAATGAGAAAGCTGATAGTTGGTTAGCCCAAGCTCATCAGGAAATGAAGAAAGGCTATGAAGATAGAGTAAGGATGGGTTTTTTTTTTTTGGTTAATCAAATCCTCCTATGAGAGTCTGATTAGACTTGGTGAGAATAATTTTCCTTGGGCTAGGTGAACATAGGCCTGTCAATGATACATTGATACCTAAAACTTTGTGGCCCAATCCGACATTCAATCTGATTATCCTGGATTCGGATGGCGTATTTACGTAATTTGATCGGATTCAGATTTTGCAATCTGCATTCAATTAATAATCGGTTTGTATTTGGATTTGACTCCATCCAAATCCAATCATATTATAATATTTATTGATTATATTTTTATATATTTTATTATATATGAATTGATATATATATATAAAATAAATTCAGTATGTTATATTTACATTAATTTATTATACATAAAAGTTGAAAAGTAATTGACTTTTTAATTTTTTGTATTTTAAAAAATTAGTCAGATTGAATTCGAATCTGATATGAGTTTGTTAAGATTCAAATTCGAATATGAGGTCTTCAAATTCGATTGGATTTTGGATCAAATTTGGATGTAAGTTTTCAATAATTGGGTTGGATTCAGATTTTGTTGACTTTGATCCGCTTACAGCCCTAGGTGTACAGGGGCTCCCACTAAGTGGGGGTGCTCATGGACTGGTTAACCAAACCATGAGTGCTTATCGATCGGTTAGCCAATCCTAACAGTTTTTGAAAAATACCGAACCAAATAAATTTGGTTAACCATTCGAAACATTCCATATAATTCTGTTTTTGCTTATGTTACTCTTTTTTGTAATTAAAATAGAATATTTTGATGTACAGGTTCTTGGGATGCACAATTCGTGGCTGTGTTGGTTGTAGTGGTTGTATTTGTTTTGTTTTCGCAATCCAATACTCTACACTTTTCACAAAAAAAAAAAGAAAAAAAGAAAACAGATGGATTCTGATCGGAAGCTACATCAGTGGAATGATTAGAATTATTGGCAGTCTTTCTTCTAACCTTGCATTCACTAAGATTTTCAGGCACGAACTGGAACGCTCTCAGAGAAAGGTATAAAATTTGTTGGATCGATATCTGGATGGACAGCAACACTACTCTTCATGTGGATGCCAATTACACAGATGGTAAAATAAATTAGTCTTTTCTTTGATGTATCAGCTTTTTTTTGTTATCTGTAAAGAAATAATCATGAATTGTTCTTGTGCACAGTGGACAAATTTTTTGAATCCAGATAACATCAAAGGCTTATCAGCTCTCACAATGTTGCTTTCTATGATTGGAAACGGTCTTATGATTCCACGTGCACTCTTTATCCGTGATTTCATGTGGTAATTTTCTTCTCAAATTGCTTTTTTGGTCATCTGATTTCCAATTAATATAACTAAATGTTAGTTCTGACTTGTTACTACTCTTGAAATGGCGGTTAAATCTTAAATATTTTCTAAATCTTGGGGCACAACTTTTGTATGGAATATACTTGAAGTGATATTGGGCTAGAAGTGTAGTGATTAATTCTCTCTTTCTGCAATAGATTATAGGTTGCCCATTGTTGATTTGAAGAATCCCAACTTTCTGACATTGTTAGTTTTAACAGAGTCTGGAGTGTTGTCCATTTGGATTTAAGCTCAGTGATTTAGTTTTAAATGAATAACCTGCCTAATTGGTCATCATTATGGATGAAATTTTTATTGTGATGATTGAGTGAACCTGACCTTTTGCCAGGTCAGTTAGGTCAATGATGAGAGTTATTAAATGGATTTAAAAATTGAGTTGGACTAGACATGAGACATCAGGTAGCTGAACCCAGTTTTTGTGTGATTTTTATGTTCTAGAACATATATAGAAACATAGGACATGACAGATTTAGTGGTAGAACTTGGAAAACATATTGAGTGGAAAGGCTGTGAGTTAAAAACCTTACTAAATTCTTTTTATGGCAAAGGGATAATACTCAGACCTATGGCATAGACAAAGGATTTGTTTTCTCCTATGGCTAGGATTACTTCAGTTAGAGTACTATTGTCCATTGCTGCTCATAATTCTTTGCCATTATATATGAATTTGATGTGTGAAGAATTCATTCTTAAATGATGATTTAAATGAAGTATATTTGGTGTTAACTCTTGATTTCCGTATGTATTGGATTAAGAAGTCCTTATATGGATTAAAGTCTAGAGACACTTTGCAAAAGGTTGGGTTGGCCTTCTTCAGCCTTAATCTGATCGGGCATTGTGCATCAAAAGGAAAGGTGAGTTAATGGGTATTCTAATTTTTTTATGTTGATGATATAATGGTTAGCAGAAATGATAATTGGGAAAATGCTCATCTTAAGCAATTTGTAGGAACTGAGTTTGAAATTGAAGACCTAGGTGAGCTCAAATATATCCTATAGGAACATTGGGTGTGCTGATAGAAGAGTGCGGAAATGGGACATATCTGGGAATTTTTCGGTTAAATCCTTCTAAAAGGCTATCTCAAGGTCAGAAGAGCAGAATATCCCAGTCCAGGTCGTCTGGTGTAAGAATGTTCCATCTAAGGTGGACTTATTTGTGTGGCTGGCCTGCCTGAATAGACTCTTAACCAGAGACAATTTGGTCAGAAAAGGGATGCAGTTGACATCTGATATCTGTGTCTTCTGTGAGGCTCAAGAGGAATCTTGGAATCACCATCTGTTACACTGTGGTTTCCCCAAGAAGTATGGTTCAAAATCTGGAACCTGTTTGAAATAAAGAGATGATGCCTGGAGTCGGTTTTGGATTTTGTAAGAGGTTGGAGCATAGGGGGTTTATCCTTGAAAGGGAAAGTTGGCTTGGAACATGGTGCCTGCAGCTGTTTTTTGGTGTTTATGAAAGGAAAGAAATGCAAGAGTTATTCAAGAACAAAAGCAGCTCTCCCAACCCAGTGTTTCAGAGAATATTGGGCAAAATAATGTCTTGGCTTTTCTATAAACAAATTGTTCAGGGATAGGAATTACAACTCTTTTTTGTACGTGGGAATATATTTTTGTAAAGCAGGGCTGGGGGGTATAGGATTTCTTGGGCAGTATTTTGTAAATCCGTGTACAGCTTCTTGTTGTACATGCTTTTGTTCTCTTTTCTCTCTTTTAATGACATACTTTACCTGTTTCAAAAGAAATATATATCCTATGGTTAGAAATTTCTCATTCCAAACATGGTATGTTCACTATAGAGAAATTATGTTTTGGATGTGCTCAAGGATACAGGAAATTTACTGGTAAAAGTAAAACTAGTGGATGCACCCATCAATCCAAATCATAGACTTAATTTATTTGAAGGTGACATAATTGCAGATTGTAGCATGTATCAGAGATTGGTGGACAGGTTACTATAGTATTATACTTCTGTATGACCAGGCTAGATATGCATGCACCTCATAACTAGTGTTGTTAACTGCATGCACCTCATAAGACATCTAGCAATGACAGCAAATACTTTCTTACTTGAAATAAGTCTAGGGAGAGGAATTCTTTATACTTGTCATGATCACATGAAGGTAAAGTCTTCAAGACGTAGACTGGGAAGGATCGCTTGGTGATAGTGAATGACTTCATGTTATTGTGTTTTTGTGAGTGGAAATCCGGGTGTCATGGAAGAGAAAAAAAAAATCGTCTGTAGTTCATTCTAATTTAGAAGTAGGGTACAGATCCATGACACATGGAGTTCCAGAGGGTCATATTTTCTTGAGAAGCTAGGTATTGAAATTGATTAGTCATTGGTATTTTATTAGAATAATTAAGTAGCAATTAACATGCCTCATAATCTAGTTGCAACATGATTAAAAACAGGGGTTGAACACCATTTTATACTAGAGTGGGTGCTATCTGATGAAATTTATCTTCCATATATCAAGACTAATGAGCAGCTAGCAGATATTTTTACAAAAGGTGTTTCATGCTCTAAGCTAGAGTTTAATCTAGGTAAACTGGGAATGATTACCATCTATACTCAGCTTGAAGGGGAGAGTTGAATGGTGCTCAATCTGATGCTTTATATTAATTGGTCTTCTTATAAGATGTCTTGGACTGAGTATATTTTCTGTTTTTCTTGAGTTTCTTATTGCTGTTGTGGAGGTTACATGACTGTTCATTTTTCTGTCAATGTAAGGTGATCTAAATAATAAGAAAGAGGCTCTTGCCTTACATATTCTTCTTTTCAACCTACATTCTCTTCTCTACCTTTTTCTCTTTTCTTTCTTTTTATTCTACATTTCCAAATCTAAATAAATCAGTTTATAAACCAGAAAATCAATGAGGAATTAATGAAGTTTACCACTCTTGAAATGGAGGTTAACCTTTCATTCTTCTCTTCTCAATGTCAGGATGCAAGTTTTGTATGAAATATACTTAGAGAAATATTAGGCCAGAAGAACAGTGATTAATTTTGTGCTTTTGTAAAAGATTGTAGCTTTCCTGTTGTTGATTTGAGGAATCTGAACTTACTGACTTTGCTACTTTTATAGTCTGGAGTGCTATCCATATGGATGTAAGCTTAATCATTTGGTTTTAAAAGATTAACCTTCTTCATAAGTCATCCTTAGGGATGAAGGTTGGATTGACTAAACCTGATATTTTTTGCCAGGTCAGTTAGGTTAATGACGAGAATTTTTAAAATGGCTTTAAAATTGAGTTGGACTAGAGATGAGACATCAGGTAGCTTACACACATAAAAACATTAGGCATGACTTGCTTAATTGCGGAAGATGTATCGAGTGGAGAAGACTGCAGGTCCAAACCTTGCAAAACTCTTTCTGTTCAAAATGCTATAAATCCCCAAATTGTCTCTATAATGAGAACCCAAGATCTGAAATGATCGGCAAATAGAGAAACAAAAAGAAACAGAAAAGAGAGCAACTCAAGAGCACATAGGAATTTAATGTGGTTTGGCATTTGGCCTACGTCCATAGGCGAGAGAGGAACAGAAATCCACTATATTAGAATCAATGAAATACAAGGTTGTTCAGCCTTAGACAAACCCTAGCGCCCGGTTAGCGGTGGCAATTGGGCGGGCTTGGGTGGGTTGGATTTGGGTTGAACTTCAACCCAACCCATTTGACCCACCAACTTATTAATGACCCATTTAAATAAAATTAAATGGGTTGGGTTCAACCAAACCTGCCTTGACCCAAATCCAGCCTGCCCAACCCATTAACCTTATAAGTTATAACAACTTAGTTTATGAACTAAAAACCAACTCCCTTTTAACAAATAAGTTGGTCATGGCTTGGTAATAATAGTAGTTGTTGTTTACACAAGAAGTGAAGCTTCAAATTACATTACATGCATATTATTTTTACAAATTACAAGAAGAATAAAGAGCAATTAATCACTTGGAGCCATTTAACTATGTTTGGGTTTTGACTTGAGTTTGGCCAAACCGCTTAGGTTCAAATCGATCAGACCAACTTGAACCATCTAACCGGATTCATATTTGGGCTAATTAGATCAAGAGTGGCCAAATTGTTTGGATTCGGATCAGACCGATCGGCTCAAACTAGACCAGTTTGGTTTGACCCAAATAGGTCCAAATTGAGTTGGGCATGGGTTCACGTTTGAGATCAAGCTGACCAAACCAAAACATGATCGAGTTGGGCCGACCATGCCATCTATACCTGGGTCAGATTGGCTTGGACCACATTGTCCTAAATCGAGCTGGGTCCGAACCGTTTGGTTCCGGACTAGGTTGACCAAATCGAATTGAACCGAGCCAAACGTGTCTATTCACATTCAGATCGGGATGATCCATACCAATCCGAATCTGGTTGGGTTGGTTCGGGCCATTTGAGTTCAAATCGTATTGGCCAACCCAAACTAGGCTAGTTTGATCTGGACTAGAAGGTTGGGCTTGGGTTCCTATTTGGGACCAGGCCGCCTGGCCCAAACCAGATCAAGATGGGTCGAGCATGCCATGCAGACTCAAATCAAGTTGGTCCGGTCCAAAATCAGGCCGGGTTGGGATGCCTCCCAAACGATCTAACCTGGAGTTGGATCTAGTTGACCAAAATCGTGTCGGTCTAGGTTGTTGAGTTGTTTGGGTTGATTAAGGTTGGGTATAGCTGGGCAATTTGCACTATAATCAAATCAAACCAAATGGAGCCATTGAACGAATTGATTGGGCCATTTGATTGAATTTGGATTCATGTCGATTTGGGTGAATTGTGTTAACTCAAATCAATACTAATTTTAATCATACATTAATTATAAATTGTTTCACTCAAATGAAAAATAATAAAGAATAATGGCTAAGGAAGTCACACTTGTATCATTAGTAGCTAACCCAATGGGTACCCACAACCCGACCTGACCCGACCCATTTAAATTGATCCAATGGGTGATTCAACCCATTTCTAACCTGCTAAGTTAATGGGTGGATTGGACGGGTTAGATACTAGGTGGATTGGGTGGGTTCAACGGGTTGGGTGAGAAATTGCCACCCCTATGTCCAATACACCCAAAACACCCCCAAAGCTTTCCCTATGTATGTATATGTTTTATTAGTTGAGATTTTGTTTTTTGATAAATTAAATCATCTTCTATTAATTCAAAGATTGGTTACATGAAAATCTCCTTAGAGGTGCAAGATGCCGCCTCTCCAAACAACAAATACAAAAAGTACAATAGAGATTACATGAATGTTGATGTTAAAGAAGAGTTACAATTGCGCCCAAAACAATGTTTCCCTATTTATCCCTTGTTTCGCCAAGACATCAGCAAATGCATTAGCTGATCTCTCGACCCACTATACTGTTATAGACATATTTCTTGTCAGACATTTGAATTTCTTTAACTCATTTTTGTAGCCCCAAGTGACATCCTCCAGATTATTTAACCAGTCCACCACTGTCTTAGAATCTCCTTCAATTAGAAGCTGCTCCACGCCCACTTCTTTTGCAAGAAGTATTCCTTGTATTGCAGCTAACAGTTCTGCCTGGATAGAGTTCCCAACACCTAAAGGGCCAGAGTAGAGTAAGACAACCTCTCCAGCCTCATTCCTTAGTACACCTCCCATCCCAGAGGAACCCGGGTTACCCTGGCTATTCCCATCAAAATTCAGCTTCAAAGAACCAAGAAGAGGGGGGACCCAACTAGTCAATACCCTTACCTTGGAGGAGGAACATCTTGCTACCAACATCCAATCCTTCCAACAATTAGTAAAAGAGAAATGTTTAAATAATTCTAGTCTTTAACCAATGTATTGACTTATACATAATGCAGTCCTTTAAGGCTTAACTGCTCCTTCCTTTTTTTTTGAAGATCCTGGCATTCCTTTCTTCCCATACTGTCCATAACAAAGTTGCTCGCGTGCACCTCCACATTTTCCTTCCTCTTTTGTGGGGCCAAGAGAAAAAAGAAGGGTTAAAGATTGTGCTTACTTCTGCTGGCATATCCCAACTACACCCAAACAAAGATAGAAGCCAAACCCAGAGCTCTACAGTTACACTACAAGATAAAAATAGATGATTACAATCCTCACCATGAGATCTGCAAAGAATGCACCAGTTTGGTGAAATACAAAGGATGGATCTTCTCTTTTGTAGGTTATCCATCGTGTTTACTTTACCATGCAACACTTCCCAACACAAGCCAAAACCTTGGGGGGGACTGGCCTACACCAGACTTCTTTGGAAGGGAAACTTTGTTGAGAGGATGTTTGGCAGAGGAAATTGAAAAAGAAGCCATAAGAAAAAGACCCATTGGGGTGAAGGGCCCAAATCCTTTTATCAGTTTTCGAGGGGTCCAGCCAATCTTATCAAGGAGACAAAGAAGAGTAGACAAACACTCAATTTCCGCATCCCTCAACCCTCTACGGAAACCAAAATCCCAAGACAACGCTGACAAATTTAAGATCGACGAAAGGAATTTTGAGATCACCTCTTTTTTATACAAAGAAATAGAGTACAATGATGGAAAAAGGTCTTTTAGAGGGAGATCTCCAGTCCAAATGTCCTCCCAAAACTGAATAGAATTACCAGAACAAGCATTACCTGACACAATTGAGGAATTGCGGAAGAATTTTGTGAATTGCTTTCCTTGGTGTAGCTAGGTTAGCCCTCCTTGATGCACCAGCATCTCAACCACTCTCTAAACATCCATGAATACTCTTCACCACTTCGTGCCAGATTCTATCTCGCTCCAAAGGCCACCTCTACAGCTACTTCCCTAACAAAGTTGAATTCTTTTTAAGCACATTCCCGAGCCCTAATCCTTCTTCCTCTTTGCTTCTACCCTCAACCCCCCAACTAATTAAGTGATCTGTATTACCTTCTCATGGTTCCCAAAGAAAATCTCTCATCAATTTTTCCAATTTCTTTGCTTCCCTAGACGGTATCCTAAAGACAAAGAGGTAATAGGTAGGTAAATTCATGAAGGTAGCTTTTATCAAAGTGATCCTCCCACCCAAAGAGATATAATTTTTCTTCCACACAGCTAATCTCTTTTCGATCTGCTCCAAGACTGGGGTCCAAAACCTACTCTCCCTAGGGTTTGCCCCTAATGGAAGCCCTAAGTAGGACAAAGGCCAGGGAGAAATGGAACACTCAAGACAATTTGCAACCGCCTCAACCTCCTCAAAGTTTAGATTTACTCCGGCTATGCAGCTTTTTCCTAGATTGATTTTCAAATTGGAAACTCCTTCAAAAGCTCTAATCAATTCTTTCAGGTTTTCCACCTTCTCACCGAAGCCTCCATCATAGAAGATCATCAAGTCATCAACAAACTGAAGGTGAGTTACTAGAATTCGGTTTGTGCCTACTGTCCATCCCCTTATCACATCATCCCTATCAGCCCTAGTGATAATTCGACTGAACACATCAGCTACCAAGGTAAAGAGAAAAGGGGAAAGTGAATCCCCCCACTACTAGCTGGAAAAAAATCCCTCACCACCCCATTTACTAGGATGGAATAGTGATATTAGTTGAGAATTCTGCTCTTTGGTTGGGCTTAGGCCACCCAACCTGGACAAGGTTGTACCCCAAGGGCATTTAGCAGATCCTTGTAAGGGGCCTGTTTGGCATGTCTTTTTGGGAAGATCTTCTGGTAGCTCTGACATGCAAAAGACGCATTGAGCTTTTGCATGAAGATCTGAGTAGCCCAAAGCACGTTTGGCAGACGCACGTCTTTCTGTGCGAGATTAAAACGCAAAAGACGCGGAAAGCTTCATTTGAAGCTTCCCGAAATCAGCCCAAAATGGGCTTCTCGCATCTTTTCGGCGCTTCGTCTTTTGGCGGCTAGATCTTCCGTGAGCCAAACGCGATTAGACCGAAAATCGGTCTTCCCGGCTTGTAAACAGCTGAAAGACCACGTGGAAGGGCCCCCGGTCTCTGCAAACTTTTCTCTTGGTGACTAACTAATGCTAAATTTTCTATTTTTAACATCAGAAACTATGATCATCGATTTTTATATGATCACTAGAAAACCATAAGCATCCCTGCTGTATCTTTTATTTATAACTTTGTGAAATTTGTTTAGATAATCTTGTCTGGAGAAGTATTTTGAACATAAAAATGGCTCCAGTTTGTCCAGTACATGGATAGAAGTAATTTAACAAAGTTGTGTTCTGTATCAGTTATGGTTATATAATTGGTAAAGTGCATTTATGTGTAATTGGTACTGTTAGACTAGTTATGGGTATTCTGTAACTACAAAATGTGCTCCAGTTTGTCCAGTACATGGATAGAAGTAATTTAACAAAGTTGTGTTCTGTATCAGTTATGGTTATATAATTGGTAAAGTGCATTTATCTGTAATTGGTACTGTTAGATTAATTACGGGTATTCTGTAACTACAAAATGTGCTGGGACAATCCTATCAAATAAGTAGGAAAATTTAAGGGAACAGTGGAAAACCAACATTAAATATAGTAGCTGAGGGAGAAAATATTTTGATCTGGCTTACAGGAAAATTAATTTTTCTTCTTGTGGTTGTCATTTTCTGTACTTCTGCATAAGCCGATGCTTCTTTAGTGCGAAAACTTAATTTAAAAAATTCCACCCTCCACTTTCTGGAATCTAGTCAATTTATAAACCAAGTTCTTATATATTATATTTCTTAGTGTTCTAAAATTATTGTCAAATTGGAAATATTTTGAAAATTCAATAGAAGTATTGCTTCTTTGAACTTGGTACCCTGGTAAAGAAGAGCAATATACTCATAGAAAATGATGTGACTGGAAACAACATTGATACATCTAAAAGAGTTGTATTTGTTCCTTGGTGTTAGTTCTGTTTGGATGCTATTGATAATTAAACTGAATTACATTTGAATTGTTCTGTTCCACTTTTTGTAGGTTCACTGGTTCAACATGGTCATCCATTATACATGGTTGGGGGAACCTCATATGCATGTACTGGTGAGTTGTCTCCTCTTTTCAAGTTCTCGAATTTGAATGGACTATACTGTTATCTGCAATCTAAGGCTGTTTTTTGTTTCAGTTTCAATAGTATCAGCAGGGAATTCTTCTTGGGAGCAACACTTGGGCTGTATTTTTGGATAGGTAGTTTTTCTATCCTTACATTTCAGTATTGTTTCTATTGAAAATGTGGTTATTTTGATCATGATTGTAGAAAATAGATAGAATCTTGTCTTTAATTGCTCTCCCCACACATGTAAGTGGTTTACTGATGATCTGACATATGAGATCTCAGAATAATCAAGTGATCTAATTGATTGTCCTGCCTAATAGGTTTAGACAACTTTGAACTGTTGTGTGATAGACCAGATCGTTAAATCTAAAGAATTCGTTACCTTTTGGCCAAGTAGATCTACGTATGAGGCAACCATAAGGTGTTTCGTCCAAACCGCCTCTTGCAAATTGGCATGCTAATATGCACATAGGAGAAAAGTTTACCGTGACCTTCAGAGTTATTACAGAGATGTGGACTTTGAGATTTTTGTTTTTGTTTTCCCTGGGGGAGGGTTAAGAGAGTTTAAGAGGGTTAAGATGTGGACTTCGAACTTTCTGTAATTGATCCAAAAAAAAAAAGCATGTTTGTTGCCTAAGCATGGAAAACAAAAATAATTGGATTGCTTTCTTATTTAACAGGAGCAACTTTATGGAGAGATGCCAAAGCCTATGGCTACAGCTCACCACTGAGATCTTTGACGGAGTTGGTCTTTGGAAGTTAAAGTTCTCCTTTTCGTACTGCCATGCCAATGCTATCTGCATTAGTTCATCAGAGCAGAGCAGAGGTTAATTTATTCATTTCAAATGTGATTTCGGTTTTCTAATTCAACATCTCCCAGTGAAACCAGTGCACGTCCTAAGGTTAATCAGCACTTGACCTCAGGCAGTAACTGCAGCATTACTGCTGCCAGGTTCTCGTCTTCATATCAGCTGCAGTTCCCAAAGCATCTTAACAACACTGGTTTCTTTTTAATTTCCGTGTAAGTTTGAAACAAAAAGCAGTCTTAGAAAATGTTAATGAAGCAATAAATTTGTTACCATGCATCCCTGGTTGATTTCTATTACAATTTACAAGATGTTGCTTTCACTAGGGTCTGTTTGGTTTACAGTCGCAATCAGATTTGGAATTGGAATGGTCTATTTTCATAATCTGTTTAGTTCTAATAGAAATCAGAATGAGAATTGAAATCAACTGGAATGTGATTTCATTCTCAAAGGAGGGAGAGGGAATGGCTATTCCCTCAAACGGGAGAAAATTATTCCACCATGTAGGGGTGTCAATTGGACTGGATTTGGTCCAATCCGATCCAGTCCAATGGAAATGAACCATGTCCAATCCAATCCAATGAATATTTTGGACCGGTCCAATTCAATGTCTGTACTGTCCAATTTGTTAAAATTTGTTTTAATTTAGATAGGTTCTAACCCAAACCTGGTCCATTGACACTTATATTCTTCTCTTTTATCAATGCATCAGATATTGGTTCAATCCAACCCAATCCAATATAAATTCATTATGGATGGACCAGGTCCAATCCAATCCAATAAATATTTTTGACCATTAAGTCTGGACTGATCAATTCAATATGTCTTGTTGGTTCATCCAATCTGTTCAAAATGATTTTGGTTTGGACACGGTCTAATCCAAAATTGGTCCATTAACACTCCTACCATCAAGAATGGGAATGGAATTCCGATTTTCACTTAACCAAACAGTTGAAATTTGAATGGGTTATTCTGATTTCGATTCCAAGCCCCTATTCTCATGAACGAAACGGGCAAGCTTTTAATTACATTAATGTTAGGGCCATTTCATTGCTACCCGGCCAAAAGTCTGGATCAAGTTGGGCTGTGCTGGTCATTCAAACAGGCTTCGGACTGCCCATTTGCTACCGGCGGTAACAGGATAAGCCGGTATAGTTATGGCAAAATTGGGTTGTCCCCTTCTAGGTCTTTTTATTTTTCTGTTTTTCGGTTCGAAGTGTCCTTATCGTTGATGGGTCTACTTAAGATTTATCTGGTGGAAACATCTGGACAGGACCATCAGTTTAAAAAGTAGAATTTTAGACGGTAAATCTTACCATGGGACAGATACATTGCTCACATTGCCCATGAATTCTAGATATTTGTCTTCTACCTAAGAACAACCCTTCTAGTTATGTACTCTATAGAGGCTTCATCAACCCTGAGTGGACTGCCCATATCGTAGGGAGTCCTCTGAAGAAACATTTTTCAATTTATGTTTCTAATTAATTCATCAAGGTGGTGCAATGTTTCTATCCAAAGGCTGAATTTTTAGGTTATAAATCTGAACTTAGCATCATCAACAAAATTTCCCTTTTTTCATCGCTAGATGAAAATACAGTTAAACTGCTAAAAAGAGTTTTTTATTCTCTTTTTTTTTCTTTATTTTTTGGGGTTAAATCAATGCCTGTAATTTCGGTGAGTTTACACGGGAATCATGCTCGGTCAACCCACTAGGTGGCTAACCGTGTCGATAGTGTTGGATGCGGTTCATCCAATTCCGAGTCTCATGCTTAAACAAGTCGGATCATTCACCGATTTCTCCTAATCCTACCATTCCCCTTACTCTTAGTCTTTTTTTTTTTTTTTTTTTTTTGAGTTGGAAAGGCCTGAAGCTAGGGGTGATCATGGGCCGGGCCAGGCTTTGCCTTCATAACAACGGGCTTAGGCTAGGCCCGTGCTGCATTATGGGCTTAAAAATATAAGCCCGGGCCTGGTCTTACATGGGCCTGGGCCAGGCCAGGCCAAGATTCCGAGCGTAATTATTGTATTTCAGTTCCAAGTTCCAAAATTAAATAATTATACTTTTTTTTTCACTTATTATCGTCAAGACTATAGTAACCTATAAAAAACTTTAAACTTAATATCAAGATAAAAGCTTCTAATATGAAAGAAATTAAATAATTATACGTTGTAATTTATAAGTTTCAATTGGTCATTAGTGCCACGTGCCTACTTCATCACCTCGGCCACGTCAACATTACATCACCTCCGCGGCCTTTCCTATCACCTCGACCACATCAGCACCACGTGTGGATAAGCACAACTAAGACAGGAGAACGTCATACGGATGAGGACAACTCTGTTGGGAAATAGGACTCACCCCAAAGACCTCGACGGACAACCTCATCCTGACAACCCCGGAAGCCTCATCCGATCAGGACACAGATCTATAGTTATAAAAAGGTACCTCCCATATTGTTACTCTGCTCGGACCAAATACCATTCTCCAACTGCTCGGCCCAACCACTCATTTCTTTTTCGATTGACTTGGGTGTTAGAGTATCTATCTACCTGGGGATAACTCCTCAGACCTTTGACCACTTTCTTGGTTGCAGATCTTGAAGTGCGGCTTTGTTCTTCCACCTCGGCTCTGCTCAGTTGGCAGGATTATCTGATTGCGACCTCGGTTCAAGAAATACCTAGGATCAAGTTGCATCAGATTGGCGCCGTTTGTGGGGGAATCACACAAAAAGCCATTCCTAATTTCTCTCACCATGCAATCAAGAAACAATCAATAAAGATGCCAAGAAACGCTTCAGAATACTCAATATGCCGATCCCCATCTCAGGGATCCCGTTCTCACCGCAGCCCTTATGAGAGTCATAACAAACCCAGCCTTAGGCCATGGTCGACCCTGCCCAATTTCAAGCAATGCAGGAGAAGGTCGACCGGATCTTGGCCATGATGCAAACGCTAGGCTCCGCGGCGCAACCAGCACAAACCTCCCCTCCTCTTGCTTCATTGCTTACCGCAGCTGATCCTTGCACTGAGGACCCCAAAAAGTGTCGTTCGAGCAAGGGGAAGGCACGGTCTAATCAAGAAAAGCAACGGACATCAAGATCGGGCTCCTCAGCCCAGTCCCGCGGACATGACAACCGTAGCAAATCGCACCAAACCACCCAAGTACTTGCTAAAGAAAGATTCGACAAATGGACACCACACCATCCGATCTCCATCATCGAGTCTATCTTGGTCATGGATCGCCAAGCACCGCCCAAGAAAGAAAGATTAGCGCACGCAACAGTCTTAGACAACAAAGATATAAAGATCAAAGAACTCTGACAACTTTTGACCGAGTTGGAGCGTAGCCAAGCTCAAAGAAGTGCAGCCCCTCCTGTGATCCAACCAGTGGAGCTGAACAGCTAGCCTGCCAAGGAGCCGCCCTTCACCCAAGAGATTGTAGACAAGCTCCCCCTAGTCATCTAGCGAGCACCACAGTTTGAGAAGTATGATAGAAAGAGAGACCCCAACAACCATCTTGAAGCCTTCAAAGCTCAGATGATGTTGCACAGCATGTCCGAAGGCTTAATGTGTAAAACCTTCATGGAAACTCTCAAGGGTGTGGCTTTGACATGGTACTCCTCCCTTCTTCGTGCTCTGTCTCTTCCTGATAACAGTTGGAGAACTAGTTTCTGGCCCAGTTCACAGCCAGTAAAAAACACTGGAAGATGGAAGGCTTCGGCAAGCCTCATACAAGTGCAGCAAAAGAAGGGAGAGTCCCTTAGGGAGTATCTCACCAAGTTCAACACCAAATCTCTATAGGTTCGGTCCTTGAACCAATCAATGGTAGTCACCGCCATCTAGCATGGCCTCCTCCCCTCTCCCTTCAACTTCTCAATCTCCAAGAATCCTCCTCAAACCATAGCCGCACTGATGAGCCATGCAGAAAAGTACATCAACGCGGAAGAAGCACAAGCACAACAGAGAAACGAAGAGGATCGACCTGATAGAAAGAGACGAGATTCCAAAGAACGCAGGATAGAGAAGGCGGACCGAGATGACAAGAGACAAGATCGCTAGTCAGACCGAAGACCCCGCCACCAACTTACAGAAATTTCACGCCGCTGATAGACCGCAGTCTAAAATTCTAATGCAGATTTGTGACCGTAATTGCGTCCGATGGCCTAAGAAGATGAAGTTCGAGAGCAATAAGAGGAACTACGACAAATACTATGTGTTCCACCGAGACCACGGCCATGACACTGACGAATGTTATGATCTGCGCCACCACATTGAGGACCTGGCCAGGTGCGGATACCTCGGTGGGTTTATCGACAACAACGATGAGAAAGCAAAGGAACCGCGACTAGCAACCAGACCTCCACCCAGGCTCCCCTAGTCGGGGTCATCGCTGTGATCTCAGGCGAGATGATCGCTGGAGGAGAGAGCAGCTTGGGCCGAGGAAAGCGCCTAGCCATAGAAACCCTGATGACGGAAGGCCCATACCGAGGAGTTGGAATATTGGGAACCTAAGAATGTACTACTAATGATTCCACATCAATAAAGACAACTTTCTTTTGCACTCAGTTGTTCAACACCCTACATGACACAGATCGCATGACGCACGCCGCGCATCACACATCATCTAGCCGAACTCTCAACAACTGGAACACCCGCACAATGACTCGGCCAACCTATAACAGCCAGAGGCTACAACGCATAGCGACACGCTAGCCCAACAGTGTATAGCCGACCAATTTAGCTGACTCGGTCATTGATGACAGAGCCCAAAGCAGGGAAGAACACTCCCACCTCCAAAGGTCAAAGGGTGGTCACCTAACTCTGCACACCCTACTGATGAAGCATCAGATCAGAGCTAGCTGAGGAACGGGTAGCCCATGAAGAGCCGAAAGCTCCCGAGACCTACAACTGAGCATCCCCCAAGAGATGAGAGCTTGGAAAACACCTTGGCCAAGAAAGTCGAAGACCAAAGATCTCGGTTGTAATAAGACCAAGGCCTACAACTTGGTTCAACAAAATAAAAAAAAGGAAGCGAAAGTGCACAAGCTCGGAACCAACAAATATCTTTTTCATTAATCAAAAAAGTTTGTACAAGGTTTTAGGCTCGGCATACTAAGTCATTTACATCATCAACAACAAAAAAATGGAGAGAGACAACTTCGACAAAATAGAACAAAGAAAGAGAAGAAGGCAGTAGTCGTGGTTGGTGGATGTGTCAGTCCTCGGTGGGGTGCTCCTCAGCCTCCTCAGTCTCGGACACCTCGATGGTAGCAGTGTCACCCTCGTAAGGAGTATCAGGGTCATAAGGGCCCAAGCCCCACACGACCTCGGCAATATCGGGGAACCGCCATATAACCTTGTCCCGGTAGAGGTTGAACCCCGTCTTGAAGGAGCGTGTTGCGAAGTTGTTCATCTCGTTCTGATACTCCTGGGAGGCCTTGAACTAAGCAACTGCCTCATCCCTTGCCCGATCCGCCCTCTCATCAGCCTCCTTCTTCAGCTTCTCCCACACCTCCTTTAGCTTGGCAACCTCAGCTTCTAATGTGGCTGTCTATGCACCTGTCACCTCAAGCTCAACCAATTAAGCCTTTAGTCGTGTGACCTTGGTGTGGCTTGACTCGTAGAGGCACCACACTAGCCGAAAATGGTCAACCACCGCAATCGTCGAGCAAGAGTTCTGCAAAAAGGAAACTAAGTATCAACACAACAGCTTTAACCAACCAAAACAAAACAACTAGGGCAAGCAAGAACTTACTGATGTGGCTTGAAGGATGAGTGTGCTCTCTAGGGCACTGCTTGTGGACTCCACTGCCTCCCACCTAATGGTTGGCGTCAAAATGTCGTAGAGAAGTTGCTCGGCCACGCTTTCCATTCCCAACCCATCCTTAGTTCGGACGTTCCACTGTGGCACGTAGATTGGAGGACTGTTGCCCTTCGGTATGTCCCATCGCGGAGAAGTAGGGAGAATAGCCTGAGTGCCCTCCTCCGAGTTGACCACCATGACCTCTTCCTCGGCCTACTTTCATGCTCTCTTTTGCTGCCAGGGAGTCCGCTTGGCAGACCTCGGCTGCACTACCTCAAGTCGGGGCTAGGCCCCTTGGGCACTTCGGCTACGCCTGTCTTGCCCAGCCCTCACCCGTCGAAAAATCTTTTCACAGCTTGCCATCTCAGCACCTACATGCGACAAACAATGGATCAATACCAGTCATACATCTCAAAAAAGAAAAAGAGACCAATAGGACTGAAGCGAAAAAACAGACCGACCCCCTCACTCATCAGCCCGGTGAGGATCAGCATCGAGAAGGATGTGTAATGTGTTACATCGACCTCCCTGATCATTCCTATTGTTGCCCTCTCTTCCTCGGTAAGTTGGGCCAGCTCAGGCTGCTTCACCTTCGTCCTCAACTTCTGGAGCTCAGTCGACAAAGGCAAGCCTTTAGGACAGCGCATAAAGAAGGACTTCTCCTTCCAATGATTCACCGAGGATTGGGTCCCAACCAACATTTTGATATGCAGTTGGGCTGAGAAGTAATAGTATCCCTACTGGTGGTGCTTCAGTTGAAGGAAATAAGAGACCACCCTCAAAGTAATCTCAATGTCGTGGGTAAAGCATTAGAACAGGAGACCAATCAAGAACTTAAAGGAGTTCGGCATCATTTGAACGGGCAACACTCGGTACCACCTGAACACTTTGACAAGCCCCTTGTGCAGAGGGAACCTTAGCCTAGATTCCAGGCTCTTCTCATACACACATAGCTCACCCGGTCGAGCATCTGTGGGCCTCTCACTAGTTCTTAGGCACCTAACTTCCTACCCTTCAGTAATGTAGTATAAAGAGCAGATCCGAGCCACATCCCCGGGTGACAAACAACATGGCGTAGTCCCGAATCGGTGACTAGCCTGCAAAGGAAGGTCAACCTCCATGGTCGACGGCCCCACCTCAGCCTCCCCGACCTCGGCATCCCTCTCAGAACCGACCCCCTCAAAGTCCTCGGCCATGGCCCCCTAGTCATCAGCCTTAGGAACACCGAGCGTGGTAGCCTTGGTGAAAGACCTTGGTTTGGACTCAACATCAGAAAACTAAGCAGAAGAAGAGAAAGAGGAGCGAGAAGACGAGGAAGACATATACCAAGTTTTGAAAGGTTAGGACCGCGGAACTAAAGCAAACACCGAGCACTGAAGACTACTTCTTGTCGAGCTTTGCAAGTGCTTTTCTTCTTAAATGACAAAGGGGAAAAGCTCTTCACCCCCTTTTATAGGATCCCAACGGTCCAGATTAAGGCAGGATCAACGACATAGATCAAACGCCACGCTTTGACAGCTCGGAGACGAAACGCCACCACTAACCTCCACACACGTGTAACCTTGGGAAGGTGAAACGTCGCTTCCATCCACATGGCGCGAGTGTCGGACCAACTAGTTTGCTCAAAAACAGGTTCAACCCCAAGGTGACCCAACTCGAGGGGCACACTCAACCAACTTCAAACATGAGTTCCTCAGCCGAGAATTGAAGAGCTCAGCCACGCCGCACCACGGCTGACACTACACTCCTCGACTTCGGAACTAGGGGAGTGGTGTTTAGGTTATGGCTGAGCTGGCCCCGAGTGCCATGTGCCACCTCCATGGCTGCTTCATCACCTCGGCCACATCAACATCATGTCACCTCCATGGCCTTTCCTATCACCTCAGCCACGTCGGTACCACGTCATGTGGATAAATACGACCAAGACAGGAGAACGTTATACAGATGAGGACAACTCCACTGGGGATTAGGACTCATTCTGAAGACCTCAGCAAATAACCTCATCCTGACAACCTCGGAAGCCTCATCCAACCAAGACATGGATCTATAGTTATAAAAAGGTACCTCCTACTCAAGGTAAATGATCCAACTCCTAAACTCCCATACTGTTACTCTGCTCGGACTAGTACCATTCTCCAACTGTTGGGCCCAACCACTCACCTCTTTTTCGACTGACTTGAGCGTTGGAGTGTCTACCTAGGGATAACTCCTCGGGCCTCTAACCACTTTCTTGGTTGTAGATCTTGAAGTGCGACTTCGTCCTTCCACTTCGACTCCACCCAGTTGGCAAGATTATCTGACTACAACCTCGGTTCAAGAAATACCTTGGATCAAGTTGCATCAATTAGTATGCTAAAAATGATAATTTTAACAAACTAATTCTTCTATCAACAAAAAATCAACCTAGAACCTATAATATCTATCAAAAGATAACCATCCATTGTCATGTAATATCCACAAAACAACTTTAAACATCTCTATGAGCTCCATCTTCCATTCAACTCCAACAAATAAAAAGTGAAATAAAAAAGATATTAGTAAACTAAGAAAAAATAGTTCACATTAATATAAATAAATAAGTAATAAAATATTGAAAATGGTTTCAATTTTACCCAAAACTTGCAAGTTGCAACCACTCTAAACTTCAGATTTTTTTCATCAACAGAGTCTTCATCACTAGAAGATTCGTCCTTTGGTGAGAGAGATTGGATGCGGGAGCTGAGAAGATTAGGGTTTAGTAGTTTCTATATTTCATTAAATACTATATTAGAATTTGGTAAGATCTAAGACCACATGATTAAAATCTTTAATCTCCTACAAATCTCTATTTAATATATAAAACATCAATTATCAAATATTTTTAAATAACATATATACATAAATATATATAACATATTATTTATAAATATCCGGGTTGGGCCTAAAAAATTAGGCCCAAGCCCGACCCTAAATTTTGCGGGCCTGATGCGGGCCCGAGCCAGGCCTTAACAAAAAACCTAGGCCCAAGCCTGGATTTTTCGGGCTGGACTAAAATGATCACCCCTACCTGAAGCCAACTTTCATTCACCTATAAAATCCATGGTTTTCAAAATTGGACCAAACCTGACGGTCATACTGGAAAAACTGGGAACCGGTCAGGTCCGTTTTACCCCAGAACTGTTATTTTGCCAAAAACCGTTGATTTGGTCCATAAATCACTGACTCGAGCGGTCAAACTGTCCAACAGTTTAGCTACTTTTATTTTTTTATTTTTTTATTTTTTTATTTTTTTGTTAGAATGGACCGTCCATTCAATTCAAATGGTCAGACCGTTAAACCCGGAAACCGGACCCTAATCGGTTCGTTGTCCAGTTCGGTTTTCAAAACCTTGTGTGACCGAAACACCCAATATGCCCCATTGGATGTATAGATACTTTTCTATCTTTTTGTGTTCATACCCGTACAGGAAAACCGCAATATCTAAGAAAGAACGTACGGTATGAACACAAAAATGTTTGCCTTTTCTATCTTTGACGCTTGTTTCCCAAACTGGTTAATTCTGTTCAACTTCAACCTTAAGCTTCTGGAATCTGTAGAATGAAAATGTATACATATGATGAGGTTGGTCTAATCCAACTGGGAATTTGACTGAATTCATCACATTTATGATTTATGACCATCTCCTCTGATCTAGACCATAAGATTAGTATTTGCAATTAAAGACCCGAGAAATCATCCATTTGATGCGACAAATTAACCGAGAGCAAATGCAGTAGCGATACGACTGGTTGATCATCTCCAGGTCCAAACCTCTAGTCAGAGCTGGTGATGTCGTGTTCTTCAAGTTCCCCAAAACTTGAATGACCAGTGGTCATTCATGCTTTTCTGCGTTGGTTAATCGTTATTAGATGAACTTTGGTTGTATTCCTTGCATTAACATCAACATTAGTACTTTTTAATATCTGACTTGAGTTCCTATTCAGATTCTGATCCTAAAGAGTGATCTGTTCTTCTTTGTTTGATGATTCTAAGGAGTTTTGACAATCCAATGCAGAGCCTTCTATATCTTCCTGATGCTAATGGGTTCAGAAGCATGAAAATTTCATACTGCAAATATTATAGACCACAATTAATGTGATGTCCATTAATTTTAGTTAGAAACAAATCACATCCCGGTCAAGGTCTTCAGCCCCAATCCCCAAGATTACTCCAACTCGTTTACGTATGTATATGGAAGAAGTATATCAGTTAAACTGTTTAGCTTAGAAGAAATTAAGACTTCATTCCATCTTCTGCAACATGATTCCTTCCCCTATCTTTTATGTGCTCATCTTTGCCATGGTCTTCTTCATTTATCTACCAAACCCATCTCACATTGAGGCCAGGGATGGCAGTTTCACAGTCGAACTGATCCACCGTGATTCCCCATTTTCTCCATTCCACAATTCTGCAGAGACCCAACACATACGATTAAGAAAAGCTGTTCATCGTTCGATGTCTCGAGTTGAATACTTTCGTTCGAGGAGCCTATCTTCAGCAGCTTCCTCTTCTTCGAAGACCTTTGTATCTATGGTGACTCCAAAAAGTGGTGAATTTCTCATAAAACTATCCATTGGCACACCACCATTTGAGCTCTTTGCCATTGTTGACACAGGAAGTGATCTTACATGGATCAAGTGCAAGCCTAATAATCAGGATTATGATCAAAGCACATCCCTCTTTGATCCCAAAGCATCTTCCAGTTATGGCGACCTCTCATGCTTCTCAACACCCTGCAAAGAACTAGTAAAAACCTCTTGCAGTATTAATGGAGAGACCTGCCAGTACTCTTATTCCTACAGGGACAGGTCCTCAACAATGGGAACACTGGCCTCAGAGAAGCTGAACCTGAATTCTGTTTTGATGGAAAACATAGTCTTTGGCTGTGCACATCCCTACAGTGGAGACTTAAGCAACATTGCAGATGGGCTTATTGGCCCCTTCAATTGGTGGAAGACTGTCATACTGCCTTGTGCCCTTGCAGGAGAGCAACATGAGTAGCACCATCAGTTTTGGCACTAACAAGGCAATGGTCCATAGCAGCAACAGTGTCTCAACACCCTTGGTTTCCAAAGAACCAACTACATTTTACTATCTTAATCTGGAAGGCCTAAGCGTGAACAGCAACAAGTTTGTTCAAATTCAGACTCATGGAAACATTGTTATTGATTCAGGCACAACATACACAATTTTAAGCTCTCATCTTTACAACCAATTGGAATCGACACTGTCGAATGTCACCGTCGACCTTACCCGGGCGGAAGACCTGACCAGAACCTTTAGGCTGTGCTATGAGGACAAGCCATTTGCTAGACTTCCCAACATAACATTTCACTTCACTGGTGCAGATTTGATCTTGGGGCCGCACAATACTTTCATTGAGTTCAATGGTTTGGCCTGCCTGGCAATACTGCCAAGCAAGGATGACTTTTCCATCTTTGGAAATGTTGCTCAGCGAAATTTTTTAGTTACTTATGATCTTGAAGAGAGAAAGGTATCGTTTGCTTCAACAAGGTGTTCCAGCACTAGTTATTATTCTGATGGAGTACTGCATTTGCATCCCTCAACTCTTCTCCTCTTGTTGTCTCTTTCCATGTACAAGCTACTAATAACTAGCTAATTGAGTTTTATTTAGAAAAATAAATTCCAGGAGAGGAAATTAATGTAGGTTAATTTGATGTAAAGAGGTTTTCCACGTGGGTTCAAATGTTTTTTTTTTTGCCGGAGGAAAATACAGTTAAACTGCTAAAAAGAGAAATTTTCTTCCGGGATTATTAGAAAATAAAAACCTGTTAAGGGACCTCTGACCCCAAAGCCTATTTGACCAAGTGGTCTAGTGTTTGATCCTCATCACTCCTAATATTATAATTAATTAAATTTCAGCATTAAGTATGAATGGGCCCGAACTTGCTCCCACACTTCAAGCCTCATGAGCTTTCACGCGAGGGGTAGATCAGAGAATAAAAACCTATTCAGGACCTCACCAAACAACTTTTAGGTTGAAAGGTTCTTGAGGGGGATAAAGCACTAATAGCATGCTTGAAAATTTTGCGGATTTCACTCTCTTGGGAATCATACTGGGTCAACCCACCAGGTGGCTAACTGTGTCAAAGTGTTGGATGCGATTTGGCCACTTATCCGGGGTATTCATAAAAAGGTGAAAAACCAAATTGAACTGAGAATGCTGAACCAAAAATAATCTGGTTAACCAAATCAATTTATCGGTATATATATTTACATATTATGTATATATTTATCATATATTATCTATATATGTGCATTATATATAAACATACTATATTATAAACCAAAAAATTGAATAAGTCAAAATCCAAAACTGATCAACCAGTTAATCAGTTGATTTGATTCGGTTTCGGTTCAGGGATTTTCAGAAACCGACAGTACTGATTCAGCATAAAAAATGCACATGGCTTAACCCAACCGTGAACACCCCTATCACTTGTATCTCTCATAATTAAAAATACCTTGTAGATTCTATTGTAATATTGACGACTAGGATAACTCGATTAGATCGAAATATTTAACCCAAAAACAAAAGCAGTGATTTTTATCAATGAACTATTCTTTATTAGGTGAGAACGAAGTTTATTGACCGTGGAAATTGGAATATGAAAATATATACATCTGATGTGGTTGGTCAAGCCCACTAGCCCTGAAAAGAATTTGATTGGGTTCATCATATTTATTTATTACCATCTTCTCTAGTCTAGATTATTAATTAGATTATTCTTTGCAAGTTGACAAGACTATGTCTCATCCATGTGATGGCTAACCAAGAGCAAGCGTTTAATACATATATCCACTTGATACTCAAACAAGAAAGACCAAACGCAACACTGAAACGACACCGGATGATCTCCAGGACTACACCGTTAGCTACTTTAGTCAGAGCTGGTGATATTATGTTCCTCAAGGCCTCAAAACTTTGATAGCTAATGGTCATGATACTTATTTTCCATAGATTTGAACTTTAGGTGATAGTCCTTGGATTAACATCAACTTTGGTAATTTTCTATAACATCTGATTTGAGTTCCTACTCAGATTCTGAATCTAAGAAGTCTGTTCCCTTTATTGGATGATTCTTACGAGGAGTTCTTTGCAACCCAATAGAGATCCTTCTGCATCTTCCTGGTAACAGTGGATGCAGAAACATGGAAATTTCGTACTGGAATTTTATTGGATGATTCTGATTTTCTTTACAATTAATCTAATAGAGAACCTTCTACTACATCTTCCTGGTATTAATAGGTGCAGAAGCATGGAAAATTCTTACTGGAAATATATCATCACATTAATTAGACCATATATTTGTAATGTAAATTAATTTTAGTTAGCAGACACGTCCCTTTCTGGTCAAAGTCTTCAACCCCTAGAGTCCAAGTCGTTCATATATGTGAAGGGAAGAAGTATATCAGTTGAACTGTATAGCTTGCAAAGAAATTATAACTTCTTGTTTCATCTTCTCCAACATGATTCCTTTCCCCGCCTTTTATGTGCTAGTCTCTGCCATGATCTTCTTCATTTATCTACCAAACCCATCTCGTATCGAGGCAAGGGATGGCGGTTTCACTGTCGAATTGATCCATCGTGATTCCCCATTTTCTCCATTCTACAATTCTGCAGAGACCCAATCCATCCGCTTAAGAAAAGCTGTTCATCGTTCAATATCTCGAGTTGGATACCTTCGTTCGAGGAGTCTATCTTCAGCAGCTTCCTCTTCTCCAAAGACCTTTGTATCTATGGTGACTCCAAGCAGTGGTGAATATCTCATAAAACTATCCATCGGCACGCCGCCGTTCGAGTTCTTTGCCATTGTTGACACAGGAAGTGATCTTACATGGACCAAGTGCAAGCCTGATAATCAGGATTATGATCAAAGTGCGTCCTTCTTTTATCCCCAAGCATCTTCCAGTTATCATGATCTCTCATGCTTGTCAAGACCCTGCCAAGATCTACACCCATCTTCCTGCATCTATGGACAGGCCTGTCAGTACTCTTATTCTTACAAGGACAACTCTTCTATAGCAGGAGCACTGGCCTCAGAGAAGCTAACCTTCAATTCTGTTGTAATGGAAAACATTGTCTTTGGCTGTGCATATGCTTACAATGGAGTCTTGACCAACATTGGAGCTGGGCTAATTGGCCTTGGGGGAGGACCAGTGTCTCTCATCACTCAGTTGGCCCCTTCAATTGGTGGAAAGCTGTCATACTGTCTTGTGCCCTTGCAGGACAGCAACATGGGTAGCACCATCAGCTTTGGTAACAAGGCAATGGTCCACAGCAGCAACAGTGTTTCAACACCTTTAGTTTCCAAAGAGCCAACTACATTTTACTTTCTTAATCTGGAAGGCTTAAGTGTGAATGATAAGAAGTTTGATGCAATTCAGACTTATGGAAACATCATTATTGACTCGGGCACAACATATACATATTTAAGCATTGATCTTTACAGCCAATTGGAACTGAAACTGGTGGATGTCATCAATCTTACGAGGGCTGAAGACCCAACTAGAACATTTAGATTGTGCTATGAGGGAAACCCATTTATTAGACTTCCTGACATAACATTTCACTTCACTGGTGCAGATTTGATCTTGGGGTCGCTTAATACTTTCATTGAGACCGATGGTTTGGTTTGCCTTGCGATACTGCCAAGCAACGATTGCCTTTCGATCTTTGGGAATATGGCTCAGCGGAATTTCGTAGTCACTTATGATCTTGAAGAGAGGAAGGTATTATTTGCTTCAACCAGGTGTTCCAGCACTAGTTATTCTGATGGAGTACTGCATTTGCATCCTTCAGTTCTTCTCCTCTTGTTGTCTCTCTCTATTTATAAGCTACTAATAACTAGCTATCTTCCATGGGATGTGTCAACTTCTAAGATTATAGATCATTAGGCTAAGTTTGGTTTGATAGAAAATAAGAGAGAGAGAGAGAGAGATTCGTTAACAATATTTCCTCAAATTTCCGGCTTCTCTCTTAATTATTTTCCATCAAACCAAACACACTTAGTATCCAAAAATTGGGATTTATTCAAAAAAAAAATCTAGGAAAGGAAATCAACTCGTTGGGACATTAATTTGGTAGATATAGAGGTTCACCATATGGGTTTTTTAGGGTATCCTCCTTCATTAAGTGTCATAATAAACAGAGCTAGCTGTGGAGATTTTCAGTTGATGTTACAGACTCCTAGTTCCCAACTGAATTTCAAATCATTCACAAACCCATTAGGAATCATGAACTCATGATGCATCTCAAGTTTGAGAAATATAATAAAGTTGCAAAGATGGCGACAGAGAGCACTCTCTGTTTTGTTTATACCAATACAAAACAGAGCTGAGAGAAATAAACACAGCAAGCAGTTTTGGCAATTGTGCTATCTGTAAGACTTTAAGAACGAGCAATTCCTCATGAAGCTATCTTCTCTGTAATTACAAATACAGGAACTGGATTTTTCAAGTAAAATAGCCCGAGATCATCACTTGGGTTCATTTATCACCTTTTCAATTGAAGAAACATCCATCCTTGATGATGCTTGCTTAACCCAATTCATCACCTTCTTGGCCTCTTGTTGAATCTCCTTCTCCTTCTCCTTGGCCTTCTTGTACCTCTTCTCCTGTTCTTGCGCTGAAAAAGTGCTCATGTCTGATAAGATCTCATCGTTCTTTCCCCACTCAATTTCGTGGAGGTCTAAAGGGACCCTGTCAGCCTTGCTTTTCTTTTTTGAAGCTTTCTTTGAAGAATAGCAGAAACAGCAGGTCTGTTGAGGCGGGGATGAAGCTTCCATTAATGAACTCCTTCTAATTGAATGGGAAAAGACAAAACAAACCCAATTATGAATTCGGATTATAAGTTTGAAATTTATGCCATTCAGTGATAGAAGAAGAATCCGCAGCTTCTTCACTCGAAATCTAATTATCTAATCCAGTCTCCTTTCAAGCCAATTGGAGCTCTTCAAACTGTCTCTTGGGAATTCCAGGATTGAACAGAGAAAATTGAACTGGGAGATTGAAGTTGGATCGGATGTTGGGGTTAGAACTAACATTCCAGCGGGAGCAATCTGGTTTCCAGAGTTCAGAGATCCAAAACAAGGGAAGGAACAAGGAAGTGAACAGAACAAATATCTCTGTTGACAAAGTCCATACAGCTTTTTTCTGAGACATGAAAGATGGGGCTGGAATTCGGTTTAGCCTCAAAATTCAACAAAGTTTAGCCGTTGGGACCCATTTGAAAATTGTTGGGTACTCGGAAGGACAAAGGTTTTAACAGAACATAGATAGAAAGAGTCCAATCAGACGGTGTTTGTGGGGGTTGTACAAAATTTTCCGTAGGCTATGTGTTCATGAAATCAGCCAATAGCTGATGAAGGAGTAGTTACTGGCTTCAGCAATTTCAAATAAACAAATGGGTTCATGAGTAGGCGGATGGTGACATGTTAACTCCTGCCAATTAGGTGATCGATGCATTTACATAAAAGCTATTTACGTGTTATTTATTTATTTATATTTTGTTATTTTAGGTCATGAATTACGTAATAAAAGTCAATGGAATAGATGGGTGGGTGTGCGTAAGCTACACTCAAAGTATATATATTAAGTATAATAAAAAATATAAAATTTCAGTATATATAATATAAATTTATAATGTATGTTAATGAGTACAACTTATTACTTTTCTAATTAATTTACATATTTTCTTTTTAATCGATACGCATTCTTATTAATATGAATCTTATGTTTTTGAAATTTTGTTTTTTGCTTTACTTCGTTCTTGTGACTTATAAGCAATCCATTTATTCCATTTCCACATTTTTTATTTATTTTTTATATAGTTTTGGATAGAATATATATATATATATTTACTTTTTATTACACTATATTATTTTTTATTATGGAACTTTTAAAATTTTATTTTGTTTTAGTTTTACATTTATAAATTTTTTATCTAAATTAAATATATATTTTTTTTTAATTTTTACTTAATTTACATTTATTTTAGCATATTTTTCTACAGAAACTAATATATAAATTTGTATAGATGTCCTGTGTTTTATTGTCAGTCTTGTGTGACGAATTCACATATACACCCTACAGCATATTCCAATCATGTATTGGGAACATCTCCCACTAACAACTTTGGGAGATGTCCCTAGTGCATGCTGAGATGTGCATGTTGGGCATTTGTGGGGTGCAGATGTGATCTCATTGTGCAGCTGGGTTCATATATGGTGTTGGGAGTGTGGGGGCTGAGGGAATGAACCAGTGTTGGTGGCTATGCAAGGTGGTTGAGGCCAATCTAGATCTCCTGTCAACAAAAAATATGCTCCAACACTCTACCAACATAATTTGACACTGCACATTCCATACATGGCAGGTCCCATTTCTATGCTGGGTCCCAGTCTCATGCTGAGATGTGCCGTGTCGGATCAAGTTAGATAGGGTATTGGAATGTATTTTGTTGCAGGAGATCCAACTCAATTATGCGTATATCTAAGGATATTAGGCCTTACCTGTTTATATTTCTCAAGGAAAGGAAAATGATTAAAATAGTGTTTTGGGTGAAAACAAATGGAATCATGGGCTTTATGGCCCATCCACTTTCGACTGATCTTGGGCATACAATACATCTGCTCCTTCGTTTGTTTTCGATTCTGTTCTTTTCGTTTAACTTTCCATTCTCTGTATTTGAGCATTACAATCTAAAGCAGCTCATCACATAAGAGATCAAAATTCTAAATTTAACAACAATTGGTTACTACTGATTCTTTGTACAAGCAGTTGGCTCGAAGGAAACCTTCTTAAGTTTGAGTTCATAACCAACCAAAAAGTTCACTTGACACAAATTACCCAAGATGGCTAAATCAGAAGGGAACGTGGCAAAGCACAAAACATCATCTTCAACCATAACAGAGGTGTTCAATGTCTTCAACTTCAACCTTAGGTCTGCACCTTTGAAGTGCATAGTGATGGTGAGGGCATCCAAATGATCAATTGTAATCCTAAGAACATAAACGAAAATCCCCTTTGGGTCAGCAATAGGTTCTAGATCAATTTCATCTTTCAATGCTGATTCCAAAACTTCATATATATACAACTCTCATGTGGGAGAACCATAAAACTTATTCCTAAATCAACGATGGCACGTGTTTGTTAATATGTATTAACGTTGTGAGAACCGTGCATTTTTTGGGAATGCATTCTTTGAGAGTATCAATTTATCACTCCAAAGAATATGTTACTTGGATGCTGTTATCACGCGAGAATAATTTTTTTTTGTTGTACCAAATGCATTCCTGCTCTGCAAGAACACCAGGAGTGATAGAAACGTTTTTATGGAACATTGCCAAATAGGGCCTTACCTTCTTCCACCACTCCGAATTTTGATGAATGCTTGTATACCAACTTCTTGTTCCATTCTCTTGCTAAACCATAAGAGTTGAAGCTACACCTTCACCTGAAAGTATGGAAGTAATTATCAAAATTAGGGCCCGTTTGGCGTGTCTTTCTGCACGGTCTTTCAGCTGTTTACAAGTTAGGAAGACCGGTTTTCGGTCTATTCTCGTTTGGCTCACAGAAGATCTAGCCACCAAAAGAAGGAGGGCTGAAAAGACACGAAAAGCCCATTTTGGGCTGATTTCGGAAAGCTTTAAATGAAGCTTTCCGCGTCTTTCGTGTTTTATTCTTACACGGAAAGATGCACAGAAAGACGTGCATCTGCCAAACATACTTTGAGTTGCTCAGATTTTCATGTAAAAGCTCAATGCATCTTTTACATGTCAAAACTACCAGAAGATCTTCCAAAAAGACATGCCGAACAGGCCCTTAATTTTGTTAATTGTGTTCTCTTTGGACATTGGCGCAAAGCAATAAGAGAATTTGCCATCAGCTTCTGATGAACCCAACTTAGAAATCAGTGACAAAAAAGAAAAGAAACCCGCCAAGGCCAACAATGCCTCAAAGAGAGGGGCCTTTTGCTTACAACAATGAATACAAGGCTTACACTATATATGTCCATATAAGGTAACTATCAATACCGGTATCAACAATGGCTAGGACCTCTACAGGACAGGTGGGGTACCTATTAAGAATTTCATGTGACAATCTCCATCCCCAGTAAGGGTGTAAACAGATTGAATATCGAATTCGATTAGAAAATTTGATATTTGAATTTGATTCAATATTCTATGGATATTGAAAATCAACGTTTGAATTTGATTTTAAGTATTTGATTTGATTTAAATTCAATTAATTATTTATTTTAGGTAATTAATAAATATTTATTTATATAAAATATATAAATGATTTATATAATTTAAATAATATAAAAATATTTAAATATTTTATATATTATATAAGAATTAAATAATTCGTCAAATTCAGATAGTTATTAAATCAAATCAAGTCATATCTAAATTCAATTTGACTATTTAAATGGTATAAATAGAATATTCAAATTCAACTGATTATAATATTTGAATTATCTGAATTCAATTCGCTTATATTGAATCTTGAATTCAAAATTGGATTTTCAAATACCATTAACACTCCTAAATCCCCAGGGATTACCCCTGATTGGATTGTTTGCTGAAAGAGCTTAGAGTCCGCCTTTGAGTAAATTTAGACTAATTGTGTGGAGAAGGTGAGTCGTAGACAAAAACACCAATACATGACATGAAGATGAAGAGCAGGTACTAGCAATATAATGTGAATGGCTCATTCTTGCATTATAATGGGTTTGTGGCAGTATCGGCTGAATTTGGACTGGTTCTTCTCCTCTAAGCTTGGTTTGTGGCACTTAGGGCCAAACCTGGGCTTATGTATCTTTCCAGATCCGGACGCTACTAGGTTTACTTGATATAGTTGAGTCTATGATTCTCCCATTCTCCATTTAATTGATCAATTTTGATTCCTGAGAATGACATCTTTCAATTCTAGTATGTTTCAAGGACATAAGAATACAATAAGATGGATGGGAAACCACTTCAATTAGTCTTCTTTCATCTTCTGTTTCATATTTTTCTTCTTCCAATGTTTGTCTTAAATTGATGTGACGCAAAGGAGGTTGCTAGGAAAGATCATCTTTGAGCTCAATATATATTTGGATTCAGTTTTGTTAGTTAGAAAAGATTTTCAATAATTTATTAAAAAAGAGGGGAAAAGGACTTCACCCATAATACACAATTTGGGATTTTTCTTAAAAACGATTCTCCAGAGCCTCAAAGTTCATAGCAGAGTGGGCCTGAATTGAAGGATTTATTGCTTTGCCTTTTAGTGAATAATATAATTAAATAAATAAAACATTCAAGGGTATTAGTAATGTAGCTTATTCATCACTTAAAGATGAAACACTAAGCTTTTTAGTGCAGCCATTTATTTGTTATCAAACAGCACCTTATTGAAATGGGTTCCTCACTCTTCCCTACCAATGATAATGGCCAGGCTAGGCATCATATAAATTAATAAAATTTTAATTGAATTTTATAATTAAAATTATATAAAATAAATATAAAATGTGTTTTATATATTTTAATTGAATTGGATGATATATTAAAATTATCCAAAAACACCTGTAAAAGATATATCGGGCACTAAAGGTGCAATATGATACACCCGATACGGGAGCATTAGTCATATCTATATCTATATATTAAAATGGAATGTGCCAAGATGGCACTTTCCTACTTTATATTTTTTTATATAAGCACTTATCTTTTTTTTGTTTTTTTTTATTTTTTTTCATTTTAAAATGAACAAAATAACTAAAGCAGCCAATAAGATTTAAGACTTTTATCTCCTCTCATTAGCTCACCATTAACTCCCACTTTTCTTTCTCATTAACTCTTTTAATTATCTCTTCTCATTCCTTATACTATTAACTCTCTCATTCAAAACTCATGCCATTAATTCTCTCTCCTCTTCATTACTCCATTAAATTGCCTAAAATTCATTAATTTTATCTATATCTATGTCCATTTAAATTTAACTATAATTTTATATACATTAGATATATTTATATTAAATTATAATTATCAATAAAAAGTAACTATATTGAAATGAAAATATTCAATGATATATTATTAGGCTAAATAATCTACTTCAATTTAAAAGATAATTAATTAAGTAATCTATATTGTATAATAAATATCATTTAATTCACTCAATAAATAAAACCAATGTTTTAAAAATCAACTTGAGGATGAATACATTTTTGCCTCTAGGTCATGGATCAACAGTTCAATTGTCTAGGGTTGACAAACCAAACCATGACACATTGAAATAGTTTCAATTTTGTAGTTTTATTTTAGTTTTTAATTTTTTATAAATAAAAGACCCAAAGATTGAAATTCGAGACTACAAAACGAGTTTTTCTTTTTTTTTGTATAGTGGGGTTGCAAAGACCATGAAAGGTTGCCCAAAATAAATAAATAAATAAATCACCCCAATCAAACAACTAAGCACAAAGTTAAATCCTCTATAAGTTTTTTCAATACAATGTTTATATATTTTTTAATGATCCAATCATCCAATGACCGGATCAAAAGGGCTAATGGTTCAACTACCTAAGTTTAATGGGTTTTAACCAAATCAACAATTTTTGATAAAAAAAGTAAGTTTTAGGAAACCTAGATTTAGAAATAAGGTTGAGTGATGGTTTGAATGGTTTAACCGTTTGAGTCAATACTAAGTTAGAGAACATTGAGTAAAACATCATACAAATTATAATCCATTTATATTCCATTTGAAATAACAAAAATTAATTAATCATAGTAGAAATAATTTATTAAATTACTTAAATAAGATAAAAATAATTATTAATTATTATTGATAAAAACATTTTATTAATATAATAAAAACAAATAAATTAATAAAATGTAATAAGGTAAATTAAAAACTAACATCTATTTAAAATCAATACAAAATTATCTAACAATTATTAGTTTTATAATTAATTTTTACTAACGAACTTAAATTGCACTGAAAAATAAAAATTTAAAATAATTACAAGCCATGAAATTTTAAAATTAATAAAAAATTAACATTAAGATATAAAAAATAATATAAACTTGAATTGTGATCCATTAAATTAGACAAAACCGAAAAAAGTGATTGAATTGGATTTATATAAACACCGTTTAATTGAAAATGTCATAAATATCCTTTCTCAATTTTTTTAATAAATTAAAAATCCGTGCATCATCGAACGGGTAGCGGAGTCCCAGTATCATATTACGCATTAGCTGGCTTTCTTCAAAAATTCACTCGAAGGGTGAGGGGTGTTTTGATTGGTCAAAGTTATTTGATTGTAAATCACCTCAGATTGAGTCATAAGCTCCTCACATCGACTTCACAGCATGTTTTGGCCGCACATCGAGAATATCTCACGTATTTATATTTATTATTGATGGGGAGATGTTGTTCATACACGGTGGGATGTTGTTGAAAGGTCGGTGTAAGGAGCGCTAGTGAGTAGCATATCCCAATTTCACAGGAATCGAATCTGCCAAAGCAAAAATGCGGAAGTCGTGAAACCTGAGTAGCAGTTAAACAAACAGAGCATGACTCTGTCACCTTTCCTTTCCTCTCTCTCTTCCTTGTTCTGCTTCCTTTGGTTGCCAACTTGCCATTGCCATGGCATACTTCTCTTCCCTCTCTGACTGCGACGAGTCCGCAGTAGAGGATATCATCTCTCAAGTAAAGGACCTCTGCGTTCTCGAACAAGTTGCAGCCATCAACTGCTCTGGTATTTCGGACTCTATTCTGCCCACCAACCTCGAGGCAAGGTTCCGCAAACTCAAATCGTTTCCCGGATCAAAGCCCATCCTAAAATCCCCACTTCTATCTTTCAATGCAGAAAATAAACATTCACCCACAAGCTCAGATCGTTACAAGAAGAAGCCCAGTTCGTCCTTTGAAAAAGAGAGTGATCATCTCCCCGTCGAATCATCCGAAACCAGAACTGTACCCCATAAGAACGAGCAGGAGACCTCAAAGCAAGCTAAAGCAAGCCCAAATTCGCCCCCTCTTAACGAAACTCCAATTTCGGCTTCTGCAGAATCAAGCGATAAGAAGGGTTTAAAACCGAAACAGGTAACTGGTTCTGTTTCTTCTCCTTCACCTTCATCCAATTCGTCATTGGAAGCTTCTTCTCCACCTCGGCAGACATGCTGTTTTTGGTATTCTCCGAAAAGGGTAGCTGAGAAGAAAGGCAAGGAGAACTGGGTGGCAGGCATCGGTCTTGACACGCCGGACTGGGGGAAGAATGAAGAGATTTTGTCGGACTTCAGTACTCTTTCACTGAAACATCAGAACAGGAGGTTCAAGAAGGCACTGCAAGAGGAAGAAGAGATCACTAAGGAAGCTGAAAAGGTTTTGAAATGGGCAAAGCAGGCATCGGCTAGGATGGAGGTTTATGATATTGAAGATGTATTGAGTGACGATGAAATGTTCAAGTGACTGATGTTGATGGTAGTTTTGCCTAAAATCTAGTTTTTCAAAACTTCATAAATACATAGAAGGTTGGCTATGGAAGCTGAGAGTCAAGTACAGGTTGATATAGGACCCAAAATGATCTCCTCTGTTTATCTTCATTACTTGTTCTTTTTTATCTTCTATAGAAGTATATCCTATTGATCATGAAAATGAAAGTTGCAGAAAATTTATTACAAAAAATAGTTATAGGGTGTTTATCTTACAGCCCTTGTTTCTTTTCTGTTTCAATTACCTGTATTTTCTGAAGGAGTTTGGAAATGGGTTTTGGACCTCAAACATAATGCATCTTTATAATATTACAATTTTTTAGGTAGATGGTTTACAAACTTTCGCTCAAATTCCTACTTCAAACTTCACGTTTCACTTGTAGAACATCTCATTTTCATAATTATGTTGCCAGAATTACTTTGTCGTTCACAAATGTTTGAATGTTTAAGTTGTTGCTGAATCTCACTTCGGACATGAATTGCTTTCATTGTTTTGGTTCTTCTGTTGCCCTTCCCCTGAGTTTAAACTGGTGATGACGTGTGGATGTCTTTTTTGTTGGTCCTACTGCCTGTAATTGGGAGAGATAGGAAATGAGTTGTGGCCACTATTTATATGTTCTTCACACAATTGGTATGATTTTATTACTGATCTTATTTATTCTTAAAATCTTGAACTGCATAGCCTAATTCTCTAAGAACCAGACTTCTAATTATTCTTTCAATATTTCAAACACATTTTCTGAAATTGGATTTCAAATATTTGATCATTTAGTTTATTTTTAAGGGTCTTAAACAGTCAAGTGATCATTTTTCTTATTTCTTCTTTCTCTTGTTTTGGGGAAAAAAATGACATGTTTTCTATCGGTTTCCTTGTCATGTCAAGACATGTAATTCTGAATTTTGTTTTCTTTATCATCAGTTTCCTTGTCATTTCAGGACTTGTAATTCTGAATTGTCAACTCCCTACAACATATAATTGAGAGATTAAGCTCGCAAGGATTGAGAAAGCAGATTTGTTGGTTCTTAACCCTTGTTCTGATCATGGATTTGGTTCTTCTCTTTTCTTCTTCAAGTTGAAGAAATTTCTTTCCTTTGCTCAGTCCTGATCGTTATAGGGTTTGACATCCACAAAAGATTCTAGAAATGAGTCAAAAGAAAATTCAAATAGTTCTTTTTAGTGATTTCCTCTTCCCTGGAAACAGGTTTAAGCTTGACATGATTTGAAATTTAGTTGAGTTTAAAGTTTTAAACAAAAGTGGGGAATTCCTTGCTGTGGATTTCCTCTTCACTGGAAACAAGTTCAAGCTTAATAATGAATTGAGATTGTTTATTTACAACAAGAGTCTGATGTTTGGATATGTGGACCAGAAACTTTGAATGATCATCCTGGCAAGTATTCTGAAGATACAGACATGAATAGATTAGATTGTTTTTTCTTTAGAAAATTAAAGATGTTACAACTGCTACACATCTATACTTTTCATTGTCTAAAACACATCTTTCAAGTCTATGGTATTATGGATTGGATGGCGGGTCTTGAAGTCCTGAAATTTACTTCAAATTTCTCAACTCATGCATATAGATAGTATGCATATTGAGATATAAATATCAAATAGAACTTTTAATATTGTTTCACAAAAATTGGTTTCCCACCTTATCAATTTACACCTTTGCCTCATCTACGAAAAACGAGCAGATTCAATAATCCATATCAGTAAGTTAAGTCATCTATGCTTTGTTTAAACAACATTCTATCATCATTTAAGTGTAACAATGGGGAGTATCTCAATGAAAAACTCTATTGGTATTCCACCTGTTGGAATCCATATCATTGCTGATACTAGTAGCTAGCAATTATGAACTGTAGGCCTTGTTTTGATTGTTATCTACATATGGTAACCTGTTATGCAGAGCAAAACCTTGTGATTACGAAGAGATCAAGTACTGGAGTGAAGATATTTGTCAGTGTAGGTATTTGTATGGAGTTTACACACTGAAAATTAGTGATGGCAAATTTCCCCATCCCCAACGGGACCCGATTTCCCCAAACTGATGGGGTTGGGGATGGGGATTGAGGTCTCCGCCCCGCCCCAACTCCAATAATATATATAATGTTATTTATATTAAATATGTATTATTATATTATTTATATTATAATTTAAAACTATTTATAATTTAAAATTTTTATTTATTTTTCAAAAAATACTGTTATCTAAAAAAAATTTGAGGATTCAGGTCCCTGCAAGGAACCCATCCCCATCAGGGATCGGGGATGGAGGACAAATTTTATCATCCCCGGCGGAGATTGGGAACGGGGATGGGGTTAATTTCAGAATCGGGATCGGGGACAAGGAATATGATCCCTGTCCGGTTGCCATTCCTACTGAAAATCTTGCTGTTAATATATTAACTTTAGTATCCACTACTGGCTGGCTAAGTGGCTTGTTGCCTTCCCTAAGGTGTTAACAAAGGAGAAGGTTCTGGCTTGTTGGTCTTGGAGGGGGGTTCATGGTTGCTAATTTCTCAATTGGGTTCATCAAATTGATGGAAAATTCTCATATTTTTTGGTGCCAATATCTAATAGAAAATCAAACTAGCAAGATGAATTTTGGTATTTCTGCTATAGTTTCAGGCTAAGGATTGCTTTCGACTAATATGGTTTCAAACTACCCTCCCACATTCTACTATCTAGACTCAGACATCAGCATTGGAGAGAAGTTGGGTTACAAAGATTCATCAGAAGCAATTAAGATGAGGGTTAGTCATCAGTGACTCTAGTACAACGTAGACTATGCTCCATTCTGGATTTTACCCTGAAACTGCAAACAGCTTTGAAGGATGCAATTGATCTCAAACCTGTTGCTGACCCTATAGGATTCCTCAAGTTATGCTACAGGAATACAACCGATAGTGATTTTGCCTTGAACACCTTTTGTCAAATGGGCAAATGATGTTGTTTGCAGTTCCAATTTGAAAGTTGAGGCCCTTGAACACCTTTGTCAAACGGGCAAATGAGGTTGTTTGCTTCACCGCGATCCCCTATGAAAGAAGCATGGGAATCTCTGCATATTATCTCAGATGAATTTCTTGTTTCACTATGACATTGAGAATCGTAAGGTACCCTTCATTCCAACAGATTCTACCAAGTAGGGTGTGAATGGATCGGAATCTGATCTGATCGGAGATCCGGTCCTATTTTGTCATATTCGGATCTCCCCTGTTTGGATCTTTGGATTTGGATCACCCCTATCTAATCCGATATATATACTATTTATTTATATAAATATATAGCATATATATGTTATTTATTTATTTATTTATAAATATATTATTTATATTTTATTTTTGTAAATTTGTTATATTAATTATTTTTTATAAGAAACATGTATATATATGATGAAAACAGTTGAAAAGATACTTGTATTTTTTGTTTTTATTTTTTAATTATTATATTTTATTTTTCTTTTAAAAGATTTAAATTGGATCAAATCAAATCTGAAAATCTGACTTCTTCATCAAATTCGAATTTGAATTCGTACTTATGAGATCCAATTGAATCTTCAAATCGGATCAGTTCGGCTCTTAACAGTGTTGGATCGGGATTTGGATATACCCTAAATTCGAATACGATCCAATCCGTTCCATTTGCATCCCTATTACCAAGCACTACTAGTAGTAGGGCATAGCATGTAACAGGATGCTTGATCCAATTATTAATTATAAAAGAAAAGAAAATGCTTAGTTTAATTGCTTAATATAGAAGCGTTTTGTTGCAAGTTGAAGGGGCTAAAAGGGCTACGGGTAGACCAAAAAGGACATGGGTAGAAGCAGTAAGAAATGATACAAGTGCCAATAATTTACCAATGAATATTACATTAAACAGAACAGATTGGTGAAACATGATTCATGTAGCCAACCCCATATGGTTGAGATAAGATGTGGATGATGATGATGACTTTTATTACGTAAAAACCTTTTATAGGCTTTTGTGATAACTAGGAGTGTAAGTGGGGTGGTAAGGCTAAGTGTAGTGGTCTCCTCGAATGACAAAGAAAGGCCGAAGGTTATTGGGTAGCGAAGGTAAACAAAGGTCTTAGAGTTGATAGAATCATGTGTCGATCATGGTTTATTCCCTCTTTTTATAGGGGCAACCCCGAGGCCCTGAAGGAAAGGAGCCAAAAGGGGTTTGATTCCTATTTGGAAGGAGATCTTTGATTCAATATCGATTGTCACTTGTTAGGAGGACATTGTTGGGGGGTTTTCCACATGTCGTGCGAGATCTTCCTAGGACGAAGTTTCCTTTCATTAGAGGATTCTCATGATACACGTATGCTACTTCCCCTTACGGGTCTCCTATATTGGCATAGCACGGATGACGTCAAAGCTAACCTAATGTGTCAACTTAATTTGCTGGATGTCTTGCCATGTCCTCGCAAGACACCAAGTTGTTGTAGGACTAAGAAGAAAACTTGCCTGAGGAGCTCCAAGACCAGAATCTTTCATCTTCAGTCTGATGATTAGGCACAATGCTTTGAACAAGGCTTAACAGCTTAGTTAATGGGTCGATTTGCCAATCATYGAGATTTCCTCGAAAAGTGGAGCCCCAAACAACCTCYCCATTCATAGAGTCAAAACAGTCTTCAACCACAGCATCCTTATCAAGTGCAATATCAAAAAGATAAGGGAATCTCTCCTGTAGAGCCAGCTTCCCACACCACCGATCATGCCAGAATTTGAGGTGATTGATTACCTTTACCAACCTTGCACCTGATGCCCTTCAAGACATCAGGGAGAATAGAGGCTACATTGCTCCATAGAGCAAACCCCTTCGGGGATAGACCATGGCCTGAATCCCAACCAAGGTTTGTGAGCCCATATTTGTCTTCAATAAT